GGCAGCCTGCTCTGGGTGACCCTGCTTGGGCAGGGGGTTGGGCTGGGTGACCCACAGAGGGCCCTGCCAACCCCTGCCACGCTGGGATTCTGTATGAAGACGTCCCGTTTCCCCATAAACACCTGCTCCATGTTTCTCCAGCACTTAAAGCCTGCGTGAGATGAAGAACACTCACCCCGGTTAGCAGGACCCTGGCTCTGCGTTGCTGCACCCACGCGCACCCACCACAGCTCCTGCCTTCAGCTTCAAAAGCGACCGCAAAGTGGGCGAGACCGGGTTTGGAAAACGCATAACCCCACGTGTACAGCCACGCTCAAACACGGCGGTAACCACGGCCCGGCTGCACAGGGTTCCACCACAAAACGAGCTCGGTCAGCCAGCTCCTTCACTGCGCAGAGCGCGTGGGCGAGCGGCCAGGAAGGTCCCGTACTCAGCGGTGGGATGAGGCACCTGGACCGACGCAAGGGCAGCGCTGCCAGCATGAGGGGCGATGGCCTCAAGTTGCATCAGGGGAGGTTTAGGTTGGATATCAGGAAAAATTTCTTTACTGCAAGAGTGGTCAGGCGTTGGACCAGGCTGTCCAGGGCAGTGGGGGAGTCCCCATCCCTGGAGGGGCTCAAAAACCGTGTAGATGTGGCACTTCAGGATATGGTTTGGCAAGCATGGTGGGTTGGGCAGATGGTTGGACTTGATGATCTTCGAGGTCTTTTCCAACCTATAATTTTATGATCAGTGCTTCTACCCACCCAAAGCTCGGTTTCCTCAAGAGCTCCCGTGCTTGGAGACAGCCTCCTGCAGACACCGACAGGAACCAAGCTCCTGGAATTCTTCCGAAAAGCAAGTCATCAGCAACAAAATGGTTCATGGGCACTGCAGAAAAAAGCTGGAAGAGGGGCCAGAACCTGAACCGCATTTCTCAGATCTTCCTGGAGCAGCTTTTGTGGGTCCCACACACAGCTTGAACCAGCTGGTGCACCCTGCTACCTGCACCCAGCATCAGAGGGCGAGGGGAGACCTAACAGCCCTCTACAGCTCCCTGACAGGAGGGTGCAGCGAGGCGGGGGTTGGTCTCTTTGCCCGGGTAACCAGTGATAGGACAAGAGGCCATGGCCTCAAGTTGTGTCAGGGGAGGTTTAGGTTGGATATTAGGAAAAATTTCTTTACAGAAAGAGTGGTCAGGTGTTGGACCAGGCTGCCCAGGGCAGTGGGGGAGTCCCCATCCCTGGAGGGGTTCAAAACACGTGTGGATGTGGCACTTCAGCATATGGTTGAGCAGCCATGGGGGTGTTGGGGTCATGGCTGGGCTTAATGACCTCAGAGGTCTTCTCCAACCTGTGACTCTCTGATTCTATTTTTCTCCCTGTGCTCTCAGCACTGAAAGCTCCGTTAATGAACCAGCTGTCATCTGGACAGGGCTAAACCTTCCCC